GCGGGTCAGCCTCCGCTGCAGATTTGGGAGGCTTACTTGGCGTCTAACGGTACCAAGACCACGAGACTCTTGCTCGGATAAATCAGAGCGTCCTCAGGCTACGGCCCCGCTGGTCCATAGGTTGATTGGGCCAAGGCCGTCCAAGAATTGGCGTGTATTGGCAGACAACGTACAGCCGGTCAAGCATACGGGCTTGCTTGGTCGCATTAGCTTTCGCCGCGTGCTGACTTCCAACGGTGCATTTTCAATTTGCACCGACAAAAGAATCGTCGGACGTCAAGATTGAAGTCGACGACAATGCGGCTAACAGACCAAAGGGCGCGGGGTGTGCGGCAGTTAGCGATGCTGTAGTAGATTGTCCGACCCCACAAAATGCCTCGCTTCCCCAGGAAGCAATTAACTTAAATCCAACAGCTCGGCGCCCGGGTTCAGCCTCGACCTAATCTATCAGCATGGACATGCACGAATGCTCGCCTCGCAGAATTTCCGAGTCGAGTTACGGTGTTGAACGATGCGGCGGCCATGTGCAGGAAGAGACAGCTGGTGTTGTCGGCTGCAGCCCGGCGAGCTGGGCTTGGCAAAGTCAGTGACCCCAGCTCTGCCCCAACCCACCACCCACCACACCACCGTCAGAAGAGGCTGGCGGCCTCTTCATTCAGATTCGGATGCCCGTCTTGTCAAATGATTCATAATTACCAACAATAGCCGCCTGGGCCTGTCTGAGGCTGTCCATGGAATCGAAGCTAGACAGCAGTTCGTGCTCATGGCATCCACTGGCCCTTGGTCTCCGAGCTCCAGATTCCGCCTTCGGGGTACAGGCCCATTTATCCATCTTGGCAGCTCGTGACATTCCGCAACAAGAAGAGCTTGTCGCAAGACGACAATGTGGTTGGCTCATCTCAGCCTCGAGGCAACCAAGGACGAGGTGAGCGGCGGATGCTAAGCAAAATTATCCGCGGGACGAGTCGCCTGTTGTCTTCACCACCTACACAGTAGCCCTACCCATCCAAGACTTGGCATGATAAGCCTCTGGCCTGGCCAAGCCCACCGCGGGTGGAACAACGAAACGAGGCAAAATGCCCATTTCCATCTTGCCGCTGCCGCAGAGCCTTCGCATGTGATTTGCCGTGGGGAGAAGTCCTCATCGCTTGTGGCAGACCAAGCCCACCGTCTTTTGCGATTCTGAAGCATCGACCGACGATCGACTTTGCCGAGTCTGTACACGGCAAGTAGTAGCACCAACGGCCACAGTGTCGGACATGTCGCCCTTGCAACTCGTAGCAGTCCTTTGGACATCAAATTGAAGCACTTCACAAGGGCCAAGTACGGCTTGGTGTCCTTGCATCAATTCTTGTGTCGCCATCCTACTCTTTGGCCCATGCAACTACTATCTACTTAGCCGCCCTGGCACGTTGTGCCCTTCTCGAACGCCTCCAGACACCCCATGGGGCCACCCCATTTGGCAGGGGACGTTGGAAACACTAGCACCAAGCCAACAACTAGCGTCCACACGACGAACTTACACACAGCTTCTCGGCTACGGCGCTGCGGCCCTCGTGCCCATGGCTGGCTCAATCCAGCTTTCTTGGTATAATCTTACTGGCGCTCTCCACACTTGCTGTCAAGCACCCGTCCTGCACACTGCGGCATCCATGTCCGTCGAACCGTCAGGGATAATCTCCATGTCCTAGTCATCCCGTCCCCACTCCCGGGATCGCCTCTGGTACTCGCGCGTCAGATATAAGTACTGTACTCGTCGCCCCACGGCCATTCTGATCGTTCCTCACGGCCATCTGCAAACTCGGTGTGCGACCCTCCTTCGTTACCTTCGGCCTTCTTGACTCTTCGTCGTCTCAACTCGTCGTTTGCCCAACATGGTCGGCATGGGAATGAGCGCCCCCAAGGGCAACAGCAATGTCCGCGAGGATGCACCTCAGTTCGAAAAGGTCATCTGGTACAAGCACCCCAACATGCGCAAACTCTTCTGGCACAGCTCAGTCCTTTGCATTGCCTCGGCCACTACTGGTTACGATGGGTGAGTACAATTCAGCTTGACAAAATATGCTCTAGCTAATCCTAAATTCTAGTATGATGATGAACTCCTCGCAGCAGATGAACAAGTGGACCGAATACTTCGACAACCCCAGCGGTAACCGCCTTGGTATAATGAACAACATGTACAACATTGGTTCCATCGTCAGTTTCTTTCTTGTCCCTTTCCTTACCCAATGGACCGGACGTAAAATCCCAATCGCTGTCGGCTGCACCATCATGATTGCAGGTGCTCTCGTTTCAACTTTCTCCACCAGCTGGCAAGTCTACATGGTCGGTCGTTTCATCCTAGGTTTCGGTAACTCGTTCGCTCAAATGTGCTCGCCTATTCTTCTCACCGAGATTTGCCATCCCCAACATCGTGGTATCTTCACTGCTGTCTACAACTGTCTCTGGAACTTGGGTGCTCTCTTTGTTGCGTGGATTGCATGGGGCACATCCCAAGCCGACAACCATTGGTCCTGGCGCTCCATTACCCTTCTTCAGGGTCTCCCATCGTTTCTTCAGCTCATGTTCATCTGGTGGGTCCCTGAAAGTAAGTACCATGGACACGAATATTCATTTGTACATCAAGCTAACACGGGACTAAGGCCCACGTTGGTTGATCTCCAAGGAACGCTACGAGGAGGCGCTGGACACTCTTGCATACTACCATGCCGAGGGTGACCGTGATAACGTAACCGTCAACTTTGAATACACCGAGATGAGGGAAGCCATCCGAATGGAGGCCGATGCCAAAACCAACTCCAGCTACGTTGACTTCCTGAAGACCAAGGGTAACCGATGGAGGTTGGCCATTCTCATCTCCCTTGGTATCATTTCCCAATACTCCGGTAACGCCCTCTTCTCCAACTATATCAACTTGGTCTACACCGGTGCCGGAATTACTAGCCAGGATCAAAAGATGGCTGTAAGTCTAGCTGCAATTCTTGCCAAAAAGTTCTCTACTAACCCATGATATAGCTGACTGGTGGTGAACGTATCCTGTCTCTCATCGTATCCACATATGCTGCTACCTTGATTGACAAGGTCGGACGTCGTCCCCTCTTCCTGGGCGCAACCACTGGTATGATGATGTGTTTCGTTTGCTGGACCATCACCTGCGCCGTCTACGAGAACTCCGGCGAGACAAACAAGGGTGCCGGGTACGCACAAATTCCTTTTGTCTGGCTCTTTGGTGTATGCTATGCCTTTGCCTGGTCTGGTCTGCTTGTCGCCTATGCTCTCGAGATTCTTCCCTACGCACTCCGTGCCAAGGGTCTTATGATCATGAACATTACCGTCCAGGCTATCCTCGCCGTTGGCGGTCAGACCAACCCTGTCGCTTGGGACAACCTCCCTAAGCACTGGAACCTGGCGCTTTTCTACACTCTATGGATCTCCGTCGAGCTCGTCTTCGTCTACTTTGTCTACCCAGAAACCAAGGTATGTATCCGCATCTTTCGCCACACGAAGCCGTTGCTGACTATATATTTCAGGGACCCACTCTTGAAGAAATCTCGCGCATCTTCGACGGCGACGATGCTGTTCCCCACGTTGACATGCACGCCATCGAGAAGGGCGTCCACAGCGAGCACCTTGACAACCTTGGTTCCGAGAAGACTCCTCATGTCGAGCAAGTTCGTGTTTAAGGGGTGCTAGCCCTCTCGCCTTGCAGTATAGTTGTTGTAGTGATTGTAGGGATACAGTCTAGTATTTGCGAGTAGTTGCTTATCAGAGCTCTATAGCTTTGATTACAATTCTTATATTGGTGCTTTATAGCATTTATACTGCACAAAGTGATATCCTAAGCTATTAATGATTTGTTAGTGATCAATGGGTCAAGTGTCAGCTATCCGAAAACCATCTCTATCCACATAAATGACTGCAATCTCGACTATTATACAAGATATTGTGTTCGAATTTTGTGAAATAGTCGCTGCATGCCAATAAAACAAATCAAACTCGTCCTGAAAAAGAAGCAACGGTTCGTGAGTAGTTACCCTCATCGTCTGAACCACGAAACAACTACGGCCTAGTAGCATTTTAGGTAAGCTCAGTCTACAACCTAGAGTTAGCACACCAACGAAACTCAGAAAGTGTGCTTATGGCGGAAGTAGCCCCCGAAATTTCCTAGTGCTTATTGTTTCACTCTGAGCTGGAAGTGGGGTATATCGTTGCTGAATTGGAAGCTTGTTATGCATGTGGAACAATGGGTATTCAGGCAAAATGTATCGATGGCTGCTACAAATGTTGGTACTACGTATAGATCTACATACTACGCCTTAACTGATTGGACTGTTCATTTACAGTCGACAGGCGGTCGTTTGCCTTACATGTAGATCTAGACGTCAATCCCCAGTTGATTGGACTACTCGTTTACAGTTGAAATGCTGTGTTTTGCCTAACATTCCTACAAGCGTGATATGTATTCTCACTTTGTTGTTATATCTTTTCTCAGTGCATCTGGCTAGTTTTCATTGCAACTTCGTGTTGTGTCATACTAATTCCATTAACGACTGAGTGAAAGCTGTGGTGGTATGCAACCACTATGAAGACTATGCTCTAATAATTCCATGATACCAGTTTTGATTGTTTCGCTCAAAGTCATCATTCCAATGCATACTCGTTTTGGAAATCTCTGCAAAACAAGGCGTGCAATGTTTAATATCGTCTGAAACAACCAACAGATCGCCTGTATAGCATTGAGCTGTGATTGCAAGATATCACAATGAGCCAACATCACAACGTAAATGAGCACTTCGTCAAGAGGTATGTAAGATCAGGCGAACCATCAGGCAACCACCTAATGCTTCGAATATCTCCAAGATATAACTCAAAGTCCAATATAAAAAGACGTGCAATACCCAGAAGCCTCCTCACACAGCTCAGAACTCCACCTCAACCATTCACTTCAAACAATCTCACCTTATCAAACAAGAAGACTTTCAAACAAATTACCTTTCAAAATGCAGTTCCTCACCACCATCGCCCTCACCCTCGCTCTCGCATTCTCCCCGTCCGCAATTGCTGCCCCAAACGCTATCGCGAACACGGACCTCCTTCCCCGCGACATATCCAGCATGCCCAATGGCATGAAGTCGCTTCTAACCCGAGACGCCACGGCCGACTCCATGACCCTCGAGAAACGCGCAACCTGCGTTTCTGCATGCCTCTCTGGCTGCGGCTTCTGCGGCAGTCAGGGCTGTCTCGCCAATTGTCAGATCAACTGGTATGTTGAGCTTGAATCTTTTGCTGATCAGCGTCTCTTCCCCTTTTTAAAATGAAGCAAGGATGAAGTTGAGAGCTAATTTGTGTAATGCGCAGTTCCATCTGTTGTGCGATTCACAACGGGGTATGCACGGACTGCGGTACTCAGTACGAGTGCGACCAGTAGTCGTGTGATTGGTATAGTGTTGCGAGAAGGACCACACGCTCGTTTATACTCGAGAAGTTGGGGAGATCGATAAATGCCGTAGCTTTGAATATACAAATGCGATCTTCAATTGTGTGTGTGTGTGTGGCTATGTTGAGCAGGGAGACTGAGAATATATCTTGCCGAGCTGCTTCGATTTTCATCTTCTTCTTCCAATATTGAATGACACTAGGGAAAAATAGTAAATAGCACTAAGTTCATATGAGCATAAGCGTCGTATCCCCATGTTGGCAGGAAGAGAACGCAGTGTCAAAAGTTGAAGCGAACCTCATTTGTTCAGCAGGACTGATGCGTCTTAGCACTGAAAGCGCGCCGGTAATCACCAAATTACTTAACAACTGAGTCACCGAAAGCTACGAAACATTACAGATGCCATCATCAAGCTACTATAGGAGGAAATAAATTATGCATTACTTATTAACGACCGGGAAGAAGGCTCGGGTTGCGGAGAGTTTCTTATGCAGGGTGTAAGCGCGAACCACACTAGTGCGGTGGGTCACCGTCGGGTCCCCAATGTCATCACCGTCTGATAACAACGAAGACCCCAAACCATTCCCCCCAAAGATTGCAAAAGAAACTTCGAGATCCTTACAACGCCATCCCCTTCATCTATCAAAAGCGGGTTTACCGGATTTTACCATTTGATTCTACGACTATACGAGCGCAACTGCAATGAGTTGGAAACATACGACGAAGGAACTTTGATGGAGAGACAAATAGCTGGATCGGTCTGAATCACGGGGGACTTGAAGAGCTTACTAGGCGAAGAGCTACTTCCAGAATTTCGGGCTACAACAAATGTCCGTTTTCGAGATATTCGACAAGTACAAATTCCTTGGAGGACCGGGGCGAGTGAGGACGAACGTCGACAACGTATACGCTACGAAACAACAACCGTGCAAAGCCGATCCACCCGTAACACCTTTTGGAATGCTGGACCGATATCGTATTACCATGAATACGATCTCATATCAAAGAAGTGCAGCTCGCCACCGGTTTTCCTGGACCGCCACTGTTTTTCTGAATAGTGATGATTACCACGCGAAATGTTGGACACCCCGGAGCGTCTTATTTTCCAAAAAGATCAATCCGATGTTTCATAGGACTGGGATTAGGGTCAATATATGGAGTCTCTTACACATAGATCGGTATTTATGTCCGCTGCATTCCACAGTCCGTGGTATCGCTATCACGATGAGCAACGAGCGAAAAGAAAAACGGCCTCAAGCACCCGAACACGCCTCCAAACTTGGAGAATAGGGAATTTTGGGGCTCACTATCTATTGGAAGCCCTGAATGTTATTTTCTACAACCCTTACTTGTTTATGGCATCCAGAATGGACGAATCGGTTTAACAACACAATCTTTCCACGATTACGCAAGAAAGGACTTCTGCCTCGATAACATTGAACCACGGTGCACAAAAGGGAGGGCTTGAGTACTTTGGAGATTTCCTGGTCTTGAAGTCTCGAGCCTTCATTGAGAATAACAATCTTTGGTAGGGCTCGCACAACGATTCATCACATCCGGACAAGCAGGGAGCAAAGCCAACATCATGCATCATACACAAGAAGACAGCTCATGACGCTAGATAACGGTATTACTATCACCAGGGTGAAATCTAAGCTGATCCTCCAAAGCGATCATAGACTTATTCAGCAACACTCATCGTTTCCAGACCCTACCCTCTCCAATCCTTCCGTCGTACGCTCCATCGAGAAAAGTCAACCAGCCACCGTATTTCCAAAGCCAATGACTTCATCGCGCCAATTAGTTTTCGCCTCACTACATCCACCACTTACCATCCGCAGCTAAACGACTGGGCTTGTGACATAGCCCTTACCGCACTTTGCATTAGCACTGCAGTCGTTGTAGATGGCGCACTGGAGCTAAGCATCACCACCGTCACCAGCAGCAATCCAGCACCACTTGCCGTCACTGGGAATTACCGCAAGATTTTCCATCAACAGCGCCTGCTGCAACCGAAAGCAGATTCGTAGTGGTGCGTTTGCTCCTTGCGTGTCAAGATGTCAGATGTGCCTCAAGTGGTCTCGCGACTCGTCAGCCAAGGCGAAAGAGGTGTCATGGTACATGCGGTTTGTCGTCTCGCAGACGGTGTTCAGCGCACTTGCGGTATTGCGCAGGGTCGGCGCTCTCGGGGGACTTGCATGACGTATTCGCTGAGGGTTACCAAGCGCAGGATTGACGACAACTTGGAAATGAAGAAGAAAAAGATATAAATCTAGGGAACTGCATTCCTCGAATAAAGACGCATGGGCGAAAGCAGCAGCATCGGCATTGATATCGGGCTCAGCGGTAGCAGCAGCAGCAGCAAGGATTGCATTGGCCTGAGTGGCGAGAGCAAGAAGACTGAGAAACGTCGTGATGATGATTGGAATATTCAAGAGTTTCAAAGGTAGGCAGGTAGGCATATGGTAAGTGATTATGATGTATTTGATGGCATTTTCTTCACAGTAAGATATCATCTTTCTCTACAGTTCCTCCGTCCGCTTCACGCCATGCACATCTCCCGTTATCTCCCTCACTGCCTCCTTCTCATACCAAGTCTACTGCTATGTATCTTGCTTCTTATCTTAAGTGTTTTTTGCATGCTCTCTTCAATGGCTGTTCGAAATAAATTTGATCATGGTTTGGATCAATGCGACGAAAACATCGTTGTACATAACCATTGCTACATACCTAGAACGAGCGAAGTCCTAAAAGACCAAAAAAAAGATCAACGGGGTAATATACCGAGACTACTCGGTCTTGCACCTAAGACGTCCAGTCCAAAGGATGCCTGATGTTCCTTGTGTAACGTACTACAGTACTTTTTGTGCTAGGCTTAGCCATCTCTAAGCTGCAACCGAGTAGGCCCAATTATGGGCCATAGATGCACTCAAAGCACTGACCTGACTCTGCGGGGGAAACGGGAATGCTTTGAGTTAGTTCAATTGGTATGCCTCGAGTCCCCTGCTCAGCTGTACTAAAGCCCAGTTACAGAGGCTACGCCCCATTGTGCTAAGCGAAGGTGGAGAGAGAAGGGGGGGTTGGAAATGGCCAAGTCTGATAGGAATGCGGAAAAAATAAAAGTGAGGTTTCGAGGTCTACGCCGCTGATGTGTGGCGTTTTCCAGCTGTAGATCAATCGAGTATGCGATCTGAGTATGAGGTACAAGAATGTAAGGGCCGAACCGCAGAGAGGCTTGCAGATTGTCCCTGCGTCAGAAAAAACAGCGTTACTGTTAGGCGTCCCAGACCCCCGCACTCAGCTTAGGATCTGACACCGTATCCAGTTCTGCTAGGCGGGGAAGGGTATTCAGGAGGATAGTAGTATACGCCCCGAAAAGCATTGAAGTCCTTCGACTATTGCTGCAACACTAGCCATCAACTGCTAAGAGTACAGTAGTAGTCCTAGCCAAAGTTACACAAAGCTTGCATCATCTGCACTTAGCAAAACTCGACACGTTATGCGTTCTTCTACCATGGAAGGTTACTTCACTATCCATTCAAGCTGAGGTTCTTCAATTAATCTGATGCGAAAAAGCACTCAAGGGCCAAGATAAGAAGCCTGGGCACTCAGGGTAGGTAAAGTTGAGATTGGTGAGCCAAAGGAGCTCAATTCGCTTAATGATATCGCTAGAATTACCAGGAACGCTCAAAAGAAAGAGAAGAGTAAGTAAAAGAAATATACACGGTCAGGCCCGGCCGGTGATCAATCATCTCCAGACATAATTGGCTGTATCGAACCAGATATGGTTCTGAGGGTGCATGCACAGGTCGGCGTAATCTGTGAGACGCGCAACACCCCCACTTCAGGTTGGTTGCCGAATGCCGTTATGACAAAGGGTGGCCTGGGACGCCAAGTAGCATTGTAGCTCGTTGTGGTGTGCAGTCGCAGGATATCGTCCTTGGCCTAGGGATGGGCCACAAAGAGATGGACGCGCGTTGCTTACTGCAGAGGAACACCAACGGGGTGAAGGAGACACCAATTGTATGCATGTTTCTGCAGTACGGGTAATGGCACAGACCAACAAGGTCATGGAGTAACTTGTAGGTTTCGGATTTATGGAGACAGACATTCCATAGGTATCTCACGAGGAAACGGGAAGGCCACTGGCCATTCGAAAGAGCTCAAATGCAAGCCCTGGCGTTTCTCGTACCATCATCTCAACGTCAGGCCGTAGTGAGAGGCTGGGGTTTGCACGGAAGGCCTGAATGATAACGTCCCGTAGGCCGCGGTCTGAGTGGAAGGTAGATTCGTATGCCTCTTGGCACGCCTCTGGAAACTCGGGACTAGCGAGATGCAAGTCGATCTGATCGACAAACTTGCTGCGTGCAAGTGCCTTCAGGCCAGCGATGCCATATCTGCAAGAAATTGTTAGCCCGTGTTTGTCATCGGTGGCGGCTGAGTGGTTGGAGAGGTAGGAAAAACGCTGACGCGTTCGGTTTCGAGAGGGCATTTTGACTTTTGCAAACAGCCATCATTGGCCTGTCCTGTACACTTCGAGAGAAAAGAAAAAACAGAAAGGAGGTGTGCATGGTGTGGGGGAAAGGGTAGCAAAAGCGTTGATTGGCGTTGTGTTCATGTTGGTGACGCACATGGCGGGGGTGGTCGGCGTTTGAAAACGCCGTGCGACGCACAGCATCACGGGAACCAACTCTGCAGATGCAGATGAAAGCCACTCCGCAAGGCAGGGATCAGGATAGAGGAAGGGAAAAGAAGCAAGCATGGCAGAAAAGTGTGAGGGAAGGCGGTACGTACTTCTCAGCGATTGCGTACACTTTGGCATGTGCGACGAGATGTGCAGACTGAATTTCCGACTCTGGCTCGGATTCTACGCTTTCAAGATCGTCATCCTCAAAAGTTTGGTCGACCATCGGGGTGGCGGCAAGCTTAGCGGATGCATCAACATTCTGGAACATTGGCTCGTTAGGTGGAGGGGTCACTGGTGCAGCAGCGGCTACGAGGGCTAATAACGGGTCGTCGTTGGGGTCAAGAGTGAATTTCCGTGGTGGTGCTTGCCTTTGTCGTAGGGATGTTGGTCGATTTGATCGTTGTGAAGAGCGGCGCGAAAGTGGCTTTTTGCTTAAGTAGTCCATGTGATAGAAGTCTGCGCAGGGTCAGCATAACTCATGAGGTTGCTATGCCTGTTTAGATGCTTACAGTGGATCATGTGTTCTACAGCCTCCGCGTCATCTTCGCTCAGGTCAATGACTCCACTCTCTGCCTCTCTGAAGCCGCCTCGACATGCGCCCTCGAAAAAGGTCGATCTAGTTGCGAGAAGTATGCGGTGTACTTGGTATCTTTTGGTTCCACAAACGATGGTCAGATCTGAGTATTGGCCACATTGAAACAGTCTGAAAAGACTTAGCTGGGGTTGAATAGACGGCAAGGGGCAACTTACGAGGCCAATGCAGACTTGAGTTCGATCATTGGGGCGTCCATTGTGTGAGTAGAGTGTGTGTGATTGCTTGGTATGTGTTTGTCGACTCGGACTGGCGGAAGGAGGCTATTTGAAGCAGATGTTTGTACACCCAGGACCCTGGCCTAAAAGCAAAGAAAATAAGTGCAGAGCAACGGCCGTACTATTATGACGGGTTTAATCCTAGTTTGCTACGCAACAGTGCGTAGGGGTACGTAGGGGTCGGCGATGATCTCACGGAAGCGCCGTGCGGGCCCGAGTGTATGGTAAGGCTGATGAACCAAAGGGACCTAACTTGCCGGACCGTGAAGAGCGGTGGATGAGGCTGGTAGGGGCGGGCCGGCTAAAACTTGTTGTGGTAATTA